GATGATCCCAACTTCTGGGAGTTAAATTAAATGTAAATAGAATACTGGATGGATGCCAGTAAAAGGGAGCTGTATTTTGACTCCAGATAAATCATTGAGAGACAGAGCCTGCCAATGTCATGGATCTTCCAATGTTGAAAACACGAACAATCACACACACAATCATGTGTTCCTGTGTAAAACTCAAGAAAGGTTAACTGAAAAATTAAACAGTGAGGGCACTTGGGTGGCTCAGTGGTTGAGTGTCCAAGTTTGGCTCAGGTCATGATCTCACGGTTCAGGAGTTCAGGTCCCACACTGGGCTCTGTGCTGACAGTGCGGAGGCCCGCTTCAGATCCTCTGTCCCCTTTCTCTCTGCCCCTTCTCTGCTTGTGCTCTCTCTCAAAAAAAAAAAAAAATTTAAAAAAAGGGGGAGGGCTTCTAGGGTGGCTCAGTCGGCTAAGTGTCCGACTCCCACTCAGGTCACGATCTCACGGTTCGTGGGTTCGAGCCCTGCGTCGGGCTCTGTGCAGACAGCTCAGAGCCTGGAACCTGCTTCGGATTCTGTGTGTGTGTCTTTCTCTGCTCGTCCCCTGCTCATACTCTGTCTCTCTCTCCCTCAAAAATAAATAAACATTAAAAACAATTTTTTAAAAGAATTTGAGAGAAGTTTACTGACGTGGACCAGAGAACAGGCCCGGAATGGCCTATGCATCCAGCAGCCTCCCTGGTAGTCGGATGGTCTCGTGTACTCTTCCAGTCGATAAACCTGGTGAGAGCCCCCACCCCCACCCCTGTTCTCTTACACAGACGAGCAAATGAGGGGTTGGAAAGCTTAAAGAATCAGACCAGGATCACATAGCCGACGAGAGGCTATTCCTGGGCTAAGCACCACTCCTCTAAACCAATCTCTTTATTGTGAACCTTCTGAACTGATCTGACAAGAGTCAAAACCAAGAAAGGAAAATCCTCAAATGCCAAGGATCCACTCAACAGCCTGAAGGAGGTGGGGAGATCCCTGCCTGAGGCCCGGGCAGGGACGCTGAAGTCAGCTAAGTCGGGAGTGTAAAAGGTCTGGGTCAATGTAGGAGAGACCTGTTAGGCTGCTGGAACATACAGTTCTACGGGTTGTGCACTGCACAAAAACGATGAGCAGAGGCTGAAATCCAAATCACCCTCTTCTGGCCAAGTGTGCTCTCTGGGGCAAAACTGTACCTGTCAAAAACAAGTGGGAATTTCCTTCTCGCAAAGGGGTCACCCATTTCTGTGGGCTGTGGTGTTGTACCCACCCATCAGTCTCTAATTGTGTAAAGACTCCATGTAGGCTGGCCACATCCTGACTGTGTCTGAGGATTTGGAAGGAGCCAGGCCTGCATGGTCTTGAGGAGAGAGGCATCTTTACCTTTAAAGCACAGAGAAAGAGAAAGCAAATACCATTCCTGAGGTTTTACAGATGGGGGTCCCAAGGCTCAAGGAGGGCCGGGTGACGTGCAAGCGATGTAATGTGGAGTAGAGCTGACCCTTGGGTTAGCAGTCTTTCCTCTGAGGCCCGCAGTCTCTGAGGGGGTCTCTGGAAACACAGAAATTAGGCTGAGGGGTGCAGGGGGGGCGCGGCTACAGGATGGCGTCATGTTTTCATAACTTCTCAGAAACACAGTTCCCTGTGGGAGGAGTTTCTCAACTTCTTTACAAATGGGCATCATAGTATTGATGACGATACACAGTACATATGCAGGGGAGGGGGAGGAGGGGGGAATAGCAAAAGCAGCAATAAATTGGGGCAATTTTCTAGAAAACATTTATTTTCCAGCAGAGTGCTACATTTCAAAGGTCTTTTTTCAATCCCTGTAGGTTAGGAGCTGGGGGCAGTGTGTGTGTGGGGGAAGCAGAATAAAGAGATATTTACATGAAGCATGCTGAGTCCCAGAGCTGCCGGAGTGAGGACACTTCCCTACATAGATGCACTGGGTGTACAAGGTCACTGAGCTTTACGTTGAAGGTCGTGCACTCTGCAGAAGTCGCGCCCTCTATAAGGACAACGTCCCTTCTCTGTGTCTTTCTGCCCTCGGCCTTCCATAGGCCTTGGTGGATTTCACCCTCACGCTACTCCTGAGGGATGGCTCATGGGTTTATACAGCAGATTAGGTGCGATCCTCTATAAACCCTTGGTCACTACGGAGGCGGTGCGTTAGCGTCCAGTCTGCCCTCACCTCCACCACCCCCCCCGCCCCCACAGCTCTGCTTAGCCTGCGCATGACGCTAATTGCGGTGGATGTCTTTGCGTGCTGATGACCTGAACAACAGGCCGGCTGCGGAGACTTCAGCGAGGACTCCCATCCGGAGCACCCCCGGGCCCCACTTGTCCTGTGCAGGCAGCCTAGATGCAGGGGGGAGGCTGGGCACGTCCCTCTGGCTGGTGTGAAATGTTCCACTGCAGACCAGGCGAATCAGTCATGAAACTATTTTAAACCCCAGCTGGAAGGAGGGGCAGTCCCAAGATTTCCATGCTAGTTACTCAAGATTGCTTCCTCTTTAACCTGGAAAATACAGCGTGTGTGCACGTACCTCTGTGTTTATGTCTGTGTAAAATAGAAAGAGAGAAAGAATGTAGAAGGTAAGCACCCCAAATCTCTTTTATCTTGGAGCCTGCCTGCCTCCTTTTTCTGCTGCGTTGTGAATCCGGGCAAAGGGCAGGGACAAATGTGTATTCATTAACAAACAAATGCCTCTTCGGTGGCTAATTTGTGCAGGGGTTTGGAAGAGCTGGCATGATCAGCCCAGAAATTAGGGCAGAGCCCTGCGCTCCTCGTGAGTGTCAGGTCTTTCCTGGCCTTTCCCCATTCTGTGTTTATGGTGGGGAAATTCTGGCTGAATTGAGCTGAGCTCAGAAAAGCTAACAGCTAATCCCTCCGCGCTGTGTTCCCCTGGAGATCCAAATGGACACACACGGGTCTAACCAAGCTGAACCCCAAAGCCTCCATGTCACTACTGCACCACTACCATGCACCCGAAAATACAGCAATGCATCGTTCACTTGTTTATGCAACAGGCACTTAGCCGTGAAGACCCTGCACTTGTCCGAAACCCTGAGTGGTGCCCGGGGCAGTTAGGAACAGGTGAACCCAGAGGCTTCCCCCTCACATAACCCAGGGGGGCGGAGAGACACATACTGTGATAAATATAACACCCTGAGCTCACTCCCCAGGCTCTTGCAAAGTGCGGGAGGGACCTATCTGTGGGCGCGCCTGGTTCATGTTGCAAACTGCTCTAGGCTGAAGTTCAGAAGTTCAGAAGGAGGAAGGGAAGAAAATGGGCATTTACGAAACTCCTCTATGTTCCTGGCATTGACGCGTCTCCCACACAATGTCCAGTGTTCCTCGTGAGACCCTTGCACCGGAAGAGTTTCTCCCCCCTAGCCTGCAAATAGGGACACAGAGGCCCAGAGTTGAAGGTAACTCATTCAAGGTCATAGAACTAGAATGTAGCAGATCGGGTTTGCAGTGCAATTTCCCTGCAAGCGCCGGCAGAGGGGCTTAGGTGGGAAGGGGTCAGTGGGATTGGTGAGGTCAGCTGGGTAGCGCATTCCACAGAGTTTGCACTTTATCTTCCAGGCAAGACTGCAGCTTGGCAGGTACCCCCGAGGGCCAAATTTGGGTGGGGCTGAGGCTCCGCTAGCAGCGAGTAGAAGTGTACAGCATCACCTCTACAGCCATAGGCCTGAAGGGAATTCTGACTCCCGCGTCACGCCAGCTGTGTGACATGGGGTGAGTTACTTAACTTCTCTGAGCCTCGTTTTTTCCATCTGGGAAATAGGGCTCTTCGTCCCAGTCCCCATCTCCCAGGGCTGCTTGGAGGGACCCGGGGGGCTGGACTGGTTACCCTGCATTGAGCTGTGCCCAGAACGGCACAAACACATAATTTATGTTAACAGTGGTACTGGAGATCCAGCGTCCACACAGTTTTAATACATGTTCATTATTTGTATCTTGCGCTTTATCAGCGTGATCAAATGCCTTCAACGCCTCGTTGAGCTGTGTCACCATCAGGTAAAGAAGGGAGCATTTGTCAGCTACTGATGCCATCTTGAGGCAGGGGCATTGCTTATAAATTGAGCATGAAACCGTCCGTGACCACTCAGAAGTCAGGCAGCAGGAGAACTCACTTGCTTGCCCCTCCAGGAGTTTGTGTGTCCTGCTGTGTGGCCCTGATGTCCGCCATTTACAGATGGCTCCCACGACGTCTGCACGGGGCTTCCTCTCCGTGGCTGGCTCCCAGGTGGTTAAAAGTTCCTTCCGCAACAGTGTTGTCCGAAAAGCACCGCGACGTCGCCGCGAACGCTGTTTCTTTTGGCTCTGCCGTCAGCCCATTGTGTAATCTTGGACGTGTGCCCAGCCTGTTCATTAGCTGATCTGATATTCATAATATCCCATTTAATAAATGGAAAAGCAACAGAAATTAAGAGACCTGCCCCAAATTACAGAGACAATTAGCCTAAGGATAAAACAGGAATGAGGAAACTGTGGGGGACTGGGAAGTCCTGGCTGCATCTGGATGTCAAGGGGATTCAACGCCTGCTGGACGGGGATGTCAGACGCCTTCGCCTCCGGCACACAGCCCGGCTTCTCCCGGCCTCCCTGTCCACACCCTGGGTCACTTTGCCACCTCGGCTCAGCAGGGCTCAGCCCCTCCCACCAGGACAGGCTTCTCCCGGGGTCTCTGCACACCTCGGCTGCGAGGTGTGGTTCCTGGAGCCTGCAGATGACCAGCATCCTTGGCCCAGGAAGTGCTGGTGAGTGGGTGACCCATGAGGCCAGACCTCCGATGGCTGGGACATGGAAGCCCATGAACTGCTGCCCGCCCCCCGCCACCCCTCCCCCCGCCAGCTCCCTAGTTCCTGAGCCTCTTGGAGACTGTGCTTGTGATAAAACAATACCAGGGGTGCCCCTCCCCATAACACCCCCCCCCCACCAAGTCCCTCCCAACTTGCCTCCCCATTTCTCTCCTCCAGCGTTTCTGGAATTCTCTCTCCTAAAGTAATAGGAGTAAGCTTTCCCTCAGCCTTTGCTCAGTGGGATTCTAAGAGAAGGTAATTTCACTCTCATTATTATTAATTAGGATAGTAAAAGGCAGGAGGAAGGGAGGAAGGAGGGGGCAGAGCGTGACAGAGAGAGCGGGAGAGGGGGTGCCCTTGGCAGCGGGTGGGTTCTGAAGAGGGGCCGTGTGCATTCCAGGAGCTGACGCAGGAGCAGTGGTTCCTTGCAGACTTTGCAGCCCGGTGCCCGGGTTTGCGCTGCCCGGGTTTGCGCACCTCTCTCGTTGGTTACAAGCCTCCGAAACTTTGGCTTCCTCATCTGAAAACTGCAGATGGTAATAATTCTGACGTCATAAGGGTCTGCAAATATTTAAAGTACTGATATTTGTCAATGGGGCGCCTGGATGGCTCCGTGGCTTAAGTGTCTGACTCTTGATTTCGGCTCAGGTCAGGGTCTCGTGGTTCGTGAGATCGACTCCCGAGTTGGGCTCCGTGCTGACAGTGTGGAGCCTGCTTGGGATTTTCTCTCTCTCTCTCTCTCTCTCTCTCTCTCTGCCTGCCCCCCACCCCCGCTCTCTATCTCTCTCTCCCTCTCAAAAGAAATAAACTTAAAAAAAAAAAGAGTACTATTTGTCAAACAGCTTAGAACAGTGTGTGATATGTTGTAAGTAGTATTTTTGTGCTTATTAAACATACAAGTCAATGAATGACTCTCCCTTGACTTTGCCTGCAGGGCTCTGAGGGAGGGAGGGTGTGCCTCTGAATCACAGAGAACATAAAATGAAAGGTTTGAGTTAATAAAGGACTTGGCCAGTCCTGGCCCTCCGATTTCTAAGGAAACCCTGGGCACTGATGTGAATCCACCATCGTTGTGGGTCACGGAAGGTCTTAAGGTCTTCTACAAATTGTCTTCAGATTTATATAAATTGTGCCGTCATGAACCCTCCCAAGAGGCCTGTGAGGCTGCGGTGAGTTCCCTACATTTTACAGATGAGAACGAGAAGGCTCAGAGAGGTTACGTGACTTGTGCGTGGTGACAGAGTGAGCTGTCAGTGCGCAAACTTGGGTCTGGTTGACTGGAAACCCCACCACACAGAATAGTCCAGGTCTCGGGAAAAAGTAGGACTGGAGAGAGAGCCGAGCTTTGTGCCTCAAGATGCGACTGCAGGGCTGAGTGTGTTTCTGGAATCTTACAGACTGTTGAGTGGGTGTCTTTCTTCGTGCTCGATGGCTCATGGTTAGAAGGGCGGCAGGTGCCCAGGGGTCTGGGGCAGGTGTGTGAGGGGTGGATTGGACACAGGGTCTAGGTGAGGAAAGGAACACATTCCGGTTAGAGCTCACGTGTTTGTCCCTCTGTCTGCCAGGTCATGTTGAATCTGGCGCGTGGTGGGTGCCCGGTCCTGGTTTGCTCGTGGCTGCTTCTTTGGATAGAGAAATCTTTGATCTGGGTTATAAAAAATTTTTTTCAAAAGATGTCGTCTGTCATGTTACCATAAAACACTTCACACTGTGGGGTGCCCGGGGGGACAGTTGATTAATTGTCTGGCTCTCGATTTCGGTTCAGGTCATAATCTCACAGTTCATGAGTTCGAGCCTTCCCATCAGGCTTTGCAGTGATAAGCGCAGAACCTACTTGGGATTCTCTCTCTGCCCCTCCCCAGTTGCGTGTGTGCGTGTACTCTCTCTCTCTCACTCTCTCTCTCTCACTCTCTCTCTCTCTCGCTCTCACTCTCTAAATAAACAAACAAACCACTTCATATTGTATTAAGCTATTGCATAAAATAAACCAGATAAGATTTCTTTTGTCACCTTCATAGAAGAACGGCAATGGAAGAAACTCAGAGCCTTTGCCTTGCTCCTGGGTGTGAAGGGGGTCAGGCTGAGATATCACTCGGGGGTGGGCACAGGGGAGTTAGCCAGGGAGCCATGCACCCACACATCGTCTCCCTGCCTGGGGCCTCCTTTCAACAGAAGTCCGGATATTTCCCTTCGGTCCAAGTTAAGAGCATTTGCTGTGAGTGTATTTTGACATTGCCATGCTGTCCCCAGAGAGTGGCACTGACATGTTTTCTTTTTGTCATGGTATCACAGGACCAGAGTCCTTGCTCCTGGGTATCAGAATCATCTCATTTTGACACCAAACTCTGGCATCTACAGATTCTGAGTAACGTGTTCCTGCTTCTTGGGAAAGCTTGGCCAGTCCCTCGTGGCCATCAGAGCATGACAGCCCATCTGTTAGCTGGAGATCACTTCATTTAAGGGCATGGGAGGCGTGGAGTGGTGGACACGCAGATGGGTAAGTGGATGGGTTTATTATTGTCCTTATTTATTTGCATTTTGAGAGAGAGAGCGTGCATGTACAAGCCTGTGTGCGTGCATACGAGTTGGGGAGGGGCAGAGAGAGGGAGCCAGAGAATCTCAAGTAGATCTCCACGGTCAGCGCAGAGCCCATCGTGGGGCTTGATCTCATGAACGTGGAATCATGACCTGAGCCAAAGTCAAGAGCTAGACGCAGCCGCCCAGGCGCCCTCTTATTCCATTTAGCACACGGTTATTTGAGGATCTCCGTAAGCCTGTCGTGTCCCTGGAAAGCCAGCAGGGAGAAAGGAAGCTGCACTAGGGGAACATGGAGGTGACGCTTCACGCGGAGACCTACTTCCAGCCGCGCGTGACAGCCAGGCCCACGGCGGGAAGGACACGAGAGAAAGACAGCGGTCTGGGAAGACCATGTTCAGCAAATATGCAGGGCCGCCCACTCTGAGCCGCGGGTCGAGGCTGGGCGGGCACAGCGTGACGGAGCGGCGCACCCCCTGCCCTCGGGGAGGTCGCACGCGCCCGGTGCAGACGCGGGGTGATGGACGAGGCGCCGTGGGCACCAGAGGAGGGGGTCCCACAACAGTGTGGGCAAGTGAGGGGCCGTTTCAGGGAAGACGGGGTGTGATCCGAGGCCTGAATCGAGCAGGCAGTGCCCCCTGGACGAGACGGCAAGGAGGGAAGGCGAGGCACAAAATACAGGGCACGAGAGGGCGTGGAACAGGGGAGGTGCAGCAGGAGTCTCGTACCGAGGACACAGTACAGTAAGGAGAGGAGGGGGGAGCGGGTCCGGGGTGGGGAGGCCGCCGCGGGCAGGCAGGGGGGCCCGCCTGCCCCGTTGGCGGGGGGTCACTTTCATCCCACAGACGGGGGGTGGGTCACAGGGGAACAGAACCAGTGGGTCGGCGGGAGGTCCAGGGAGTCCTGAGAGGGTGGGGGGGCGCTCTCCTCCTCCCCCCCCCCCCCCCCCTCCCCCTCCCCCCGCCTCTTCCCCTTCCTCCCCTCCTCTTCCCCTTCCTCCCCTCCTCTTCCCCTTCCTCCCCTCCTCCTCCTCTCCTCTTCCTCTTCCCCTTACCCCCCCTCCTTGTCTTTCTTCAATTGACCCTTGCTGAATATATTGGAAAACTATGAGTTTGTTCCTGTCTTAACAAGCAGAGTCTCTCGTGAACATCACAGACCCTGATGGATATTTGCTCAGAGTTTGAGGTCATTATTCAGCACGTAACCCTTAGGGCCAGGACTGCAGGGGCGGCCGAAGCAAAAGATGTCAGAGCCCGCACACTTAGGAGCCCTTGACGTCCATGGCCCACAGATGGGATCTTAAGCGGCCGTGTCAGGTGAAGGCCCAAGGGCTCCCTTCCCCCGCACTGAAGGGATCTTTTTTTTTTTCCCACCAGGGTTGTCTCCACCAGAAAATGTTGCTTGCAAGGAACAGAAATAGTCCACGGTTAAAAAGGAAGGAGGACAAAAGAAATTCAATGGAAATATGTGGGTTCATTCTACACAGCTGAATGGGAAGCTCAGCAACTAGCCAATAATAATAATAATAATAATAATAATAAACGTATACTGTCGGTTTACTATCTGTCGGCCACTATTCAAGAGCTTTGAGTTTTAGTAACGTACTTGATATTTACAACTATACTAAATACTACAGTGGACGCTATTGTGATGCTGATTTCAGAGGTCAGAAACCTGAGATTCAGAGAGGTTCAGTAATAAACCCAAGGTCACACAGCTAGGCAGCATCCGAGCCGGGACTAGAACACACAAAATCTGGTTCCTGAATCAGTGCTTTTTTCCACTACGCTGAGAAACAGGAAGCGAAAGGTAAAGTCCAGTGCTTGACGTGGAAGGGAATAGAGAATGGTCTCTTCAGGGAAGTGACATGTATGATGGGCCTCGGAGGGGGGTGACACCTGTCATCTTGTGACTGAGGACAAGGGGGATCCCTTTTCCGGAAGCCTCCCCAATCTACTTGGAGTGGGGAGAGCCATTTCTCAACACAAAGGCCAACAGGAGGTTCCACATAGGATTTAGTGTGAAGCAATAAACAAGGAAACAGAAAAGTTATATTATAAAAAGAAAAAAAATTATTCCCAGAGCCTTTAAAAAAAAAGTTTACTTATTTATTTTTAAGAGAGAGAGAGCAGGGGAAGGGCAGAGAGAGAATCCCAAGCAGAGTCCGCAAGGCCGGCACAGAGCCCATCCAACGTGGGGCTCGAACCCGGAAGTGGTGAGCTCGTGACCTGAGTCAAAACCAAGAGTCAGATGCTTAACTGACTGAGCCTCCCAGGCGCCCCAGAGCAGAGCCTTTTCATTTTGTATATGAATACGCAAAAATAGGAAAAAGTTGAACTTGGTATTTTGAGTTCACTATCATTGCTATTATACTGTTATTGTTATGACACAACTTTCACACAATTGAAAACTGAGGTTTTAAAAACGTTTTAATAGGAAAATCAGTAAAAAACTCATTTTTCCTTAGATCTTTCAATTCAACTTATAAGCCTCTTTTAACACAGACTATATTTAACAATTACTTTCAATGAGTCTCCTGTCCCATGTTTAAAGAACCCTAAGTGACTTCAAACAATGGGCCCAGATAACAATTCAATTCATTAAATCCTTTCAGTTGCTTCAACTGATAAGATAAATGCCTTCCTAAGGATTTAAAACATTCCGTGAAGTAGTAATTCAACTTATAACCAAGTGTGAAGGGTCTCGGTATCTTCTAAACGATCAAACAGGGCACACTGTCAAATGTTTAAAAACACTTTTCCAATGAGGATTTACAAGCCTAAATTATGTCACTGCTCAGTTACATTTTAATTGGCTTTATCAGGCTAATCTGACTCTGATGTATCAGAGTATTTTTTAAATTATACGACAAACCTCAAATACCAGCCTTATGCTGGTTTCCCCACAGACTTGACTTCTGGGATTTACGTTCTCCTCACTCCGCAGAATACATTCTGAGCTTTGCCAGCGTGGAAGTGCTCAGCACTAGGAGAATAAACAAGTCCTTTTACCATCACAAGCGAGTCCCCACCTAAAAGAGGGACAAGGACGATTTTTTTTCTTCACGACAGTTGGCTCAGGCTTTACTCGTCACTATGGCAACAAGCAACTCCAAGTCCACACGGTGCACCTGAGATTATTTTCTGCGCTCCCGCCCCTGGATCTAGGCTGAATGACCTAACCTCTTCTAACCTTGCAGCACAGACTGCTAACTGTCCCCAAAGACCGGTTTCCCACAGTGTGTTTTCCCAGAATTAGGAATAGGTTTCCCAGGGTCCTTTGCAGCGAGGCAGCTGGAAGATGTAAGTGGAAGTCCTGTGGGCAATTTGTAGGATGTTCTTATCTCCTTCTGGATGCCTGGAATAAAGAGTTGATGTCTGGGGTGGAGCAGCCAACTTGGACCAGGAAATCAAGTTGGGGTAGATGGTGCGCTCCATTGTGAAGCAACGAGCTGGCCGGAGCCCGGGTCCCTGACCCTTTACAAGTCCACACCAACCTTGTGTGCCAGGGCTTGGTGAAGGGAGAAACTAACTTCTACCCGATTAAGCCACTGTGATGTGGGGTTTTCCGCTGTGGAACACAATCCTAACTGCTATAGACACCACCGCCTGATTTGCGTAGGTGAAATTCTGGATCCTTCCCCCCTGGACAGGATTCTTCACCAGTCAGCTATTTGGCTGCCTGATGGAATTCCACCTTCCCCCCGTGTCTGGTTATAGGCTACAGTCCTAAGACACCTGAAATGACTTACACGATTTTACCAAATTGATACCCTAAATCGATAGCAGATCTTCTACCCCTTAAAGCTGGGGCCCTAGCTCCCAACCCAACACCACCACGGTAGGTGTAGCCGCCTCCACGATCATTAAATGCAGATCGTTAAATGCGAGAAGCTAGCATTAATTTATATTTTATAAGCCTGTAGTGCAAAATACATAAGTGAACACCAATATACGTAGTAAATCAATGCACGCGAAAATAACGATAACTTACTGTACACTTATTATGTGCATGGCTAATAACCATCCTATTCATTCCAGAGGGAGAAGTCTATCGTTATCCTTAGTTTAGACATAAGGAAGCTGTGGCCACATGTTTTCCCCAGGCTCAGATGCACAGTTGCACCCCATAAATTACCAAGTGATAGAGGTATTCCCAACTGTACTGTTTTAAGGATCAAGAAAGAGAGAGAAGAGAAAGATGCATGCACGTTTAGTCTCCGGGAAAGACCTGTTCAGCTACAAAAAAATACAAAGAAATGATTTCAGGGTTCTTTGTAATTTCTCCGCAATATTTATGGCTGCCATCTCTATTCTTCTTATACGTGGAAAACTTCTATCCCAAATTTGGATATTGGCTTGTTTTGTACTGAGAAGTAACTTGCTCTCCTTTGTGGGGGGGGCGGTGCTGGCGTGAGGGCGTGGGGCGGAGGGACACTCCAAACCTCAAGGCCACCACCATGGGCATGTAGTTTAAGGAGGAGGGAATTACAGGGTTTCTTCCCCCAGTGATGCAGTTGGCCTGGCAGAGTGCTGATATTTGGCAACTGCCACGCTGAGTACTTTTCCATTCTCATCTATAAAACATTTGTAAGAATGTTGACAAGTATAATATGCATAAGAAAGATACTTAAATTAATAACGGCCATCATTTATTGGATGCTTACTAAGTATCTGGCACTGGGCTAATAATTCTTTATATATAATCTGTCTCCTTAAAACAACTCTGGGGGCCGGGTACCATCCGCCCATTCTGCAGACAAAATCTGGAAGGCTCATGGGTTCGGAGCACCCCCTCCCCCCGCCTCACCTCTGCTCTGCGGTTTCCTCCAGCAGGCAGACATGGTTGCTTTTCAGCTTCCCAGTCTGTTCTTTCACTCAGTTTCCCAGGTTAAGGTGCTGGTTCTTAAATGTCAGAGAACCTTGATATAGACTATTTGCGATCCCTGAAGAGCCAGAAATTTCTTTTCAAGAATGCAAGTGTTAACCTTGGGGTCCTTGACATATTTCACATCCAGTAATTGCATTCTGCTTGTTTTGACTTTACTCGGAAATAAAATCATCGGGAAAACATCATAGAACAAAAGGTTTCCTGCTGCAAGGACCCTTAAGATGATCAAAGCCCATAGTTTCAATGCCAGGAACAGTCTGTCCAAATAGTAATTCAAGGAGAAGGGCACGCACATCGTAAGCCGTCTCTGTGAGCTCCCTCTCACCCCTTGTTGTGCTTCTTTGGAAATAACTTCCACGAAGGTAACTAATCACGGATCCTGTAACATCCCCAGGATCCACCCATTCCATGAACATTTGCTAAATGGATTAATGGAGGTGGGTACCCAATGTGCGATCCCCTTAGGTTTGACAGAACACAGTTTGAAAACATTGCTCTAAGTCAACCTCCTAAGGGTACAGACAAGAAAGCTGAGGTCAGAAAAGGGAAACTGTCCAAAGCCAAGGGCTTGCAAAGTAGCAGAGCCAGGACCCGGGTCCAGAACATCTTATCAGAAAGACTTTGTCCATGGTGCCTTTGGGATTTATGGTTGAGTGTATGAATGGGGTGCTGTCCCCCGGGCCCTCGTAGCTGTATTTCAGAAGGAAGCTGTTCCAAAAGGCAGATTCCCAGAACCCACTGTCAGGTGGGTGAATTTCGAATCTCTGGAAGTAGGACCCAGGAATCTGAGTTAGAGTAAGGCTCCTGGAGGCATCCTTGTGTGCTGTGAAGGCTGAGAAGTAGACCCTAAGGGTTCCTTGCCTGGATCCAGGAGGTAACTGGAGACTTAGCTATGATCTTCCCCTGCTCTAGGCTAGAATGAAGAGCCGCTGACCTAGCAGGTTGCCTAGAGTTATGTTCCTGAGTGAATGATTTATTCCATAACCACTTATTGACAATCGCCATGTCCTCAGGGCTCTGACCTTGTTTCATTTTTTACAACATCCCTAGGCGATCTCAGCCACACCAGGTCTCCACCAGCACCCGCTGCCTGTGAATCTAGTGCTGCTACCTGGTCCTGAACATACTATTTTCAGGGATGTTTTGTTATGCAGGATTGGTGACCAGAGTAAGCGGCAAATCAAAGTCCCAGAGAAAACTGAAACGGGACACACAAAAATGGTTCCTTCCACGGTCCATAGTCCAAGGTGCCATATTCTAGAGATGGCCACCATCCACTCAGTGTCAATTATTTTTGCCGTTGGGTTTCAAGTAAAAAAGAAATCTCGAGGTGCCTGGGTGGCTCAGTCAGATGAGTGCCCAACTTCAGGTTAGGTCATGATTTCACGGTTCGGGAGTTCGAGCCCCGCCTCCGGCTCTGTGCTGACAGCTCAGAGCCTGGATCTTGCTTCACATTCTGTGTCTCTCTCTCCCTGTACCCCTCTGTGACTTGCACTCTGTCTCTCTCTCAAAAATTAGGGCACCTGGGTGGCTCAGGTGGTTAAGTGTCCGACTTCGGCTCAGGTCACGATTTCATGACTTGTGGGTTCGAGCCCTGCATCGGGCTCTGTGCTGACAGT